CTCACAGATGGCCACGTAGCGGTCCAGGGCCATGGCTGCCAAGACAATGCACTCAGTGCACCCCAACCAGTGGAAAACCATGTACTGTACTGTGCAGCCATTGTAGCTGATGGTCTTCCTGGAGCTGCCCATGTTGACCAGCATCTGAGGGACGGTGGTGGTGGTGTAGCAGAGGTCCAGGAAGGAGAGGTGGCCGAGGAAGATGTACATGGGGCTGTGGAGCTGGGGATCCAGCCGGGACACCAGGATGATGGAAATGTTCCCCAACATGGCCAGAACATAGGACACCAGGAGGACTACAAAGAGAGAGAGTTGCAGCCATGGCTTGTCAGAAACACCCAGAAGGACAAAGTCCTCAGGAGGGTCCCCCCAAAAGCTCTGGTTGTCACTTCTCATGCTGAGGCATTTTCTGGCACCTGTGATCAATCAAGAAAGCTGGGATGAATAAAGTCTAAGAAGAGAAGTTAATCGTCTTTCTCATGCCTGTGCCTGTGCTTTCCTATACAGGTTCCACTCTATGGTCTTCCTTATGTTCCGCAGTGACACTGAAATGTGGGGGAAATCAGAATCAGGCGTCAGAACAGTTGCGTATATATCTTGCTCTCCTTCCTACTCTGTGACCTTGGCCATTCAATTTCTCTGAACGTTAATTTCTGCATCTGTAATGTGGGGAGAAAATACCTGCTCCAAATACAGAGCCTTGGGGAGGATAGGGGGACATTGGGTTTGTGAAAGCATATCGTTAAGAACAACTTTCTTCCAATTTAGTCAAAGTCTGACACAGTTCCTGTTGCTTTTAGAACGTCTGACTTCTCTCTACAAACTCATCAATAGGAATTGACCACTTCCTTAGGCTTTCTCGTTTTGCCTTTTGGAGGTGGTGGTGGATGGGAGGCGAAAGGTGGCATAAAACAAGAGTAAGGGCTTTGTGAACAGCTAAGGGGTTTATTGATATAAACGCATCCTACTCACTGCCGAAGGCTTACATGTGCCTCCCTGGCTCCCTGTACCATGCCGGTCTCTCGTCCTGTGACTGCTCACCTGTGGGCGACACTAATTCACTCTGGCAGTTAGGAGAAAAGCACAGCCCAATGTCCTCTCAGTCCCTGGAGTGGAGGAGTTAAGTCACTTCCACTCTTGACTTGGTGCCTAATGGTACCCAATGAGGCCCCAGAACATAGAATTTTGAGCAAAGGGAGAAAGGTGGTAATCAGTGTAAGAAACATAGCCCCCAGTTCTTCCACTGAAGGATCAGATTGCCTTTAGAGATAACATTTATCAGGCAGTTTGAATGACATTCCCCGTACAACTTCTTTGCCAAGCAGCTGTTTTCTCTCAGAGTCAGAAAACACAGTGGATTTGGTTTCTGGATTCCATTGCTGTCCGAAAGTGGCTGGGTTGCCCTCTGCTGATTCATGGGGCCTTCCTACTCCATTGGCCTTCAGCCTCCTATACACCCCATAGGACTGCACCCGCTCAAGTTCATAATGGGAATGATACAGTCCATGAGAGAAAAGAAATGAACAAAAGGATACATGCACTCCATTGTCCACAGCAACACTACTTACAATTGGCAAGACATGGAACCAACCTAAGTGTCCATTGACAGACGACTGGATAAAGGTGATACACACACACACACACACACACACACACACACACACACACACACACGAATACTACTCAGCCATAAGAAAGTATAAAATAATGCCATTTGCAGCAACATGGATGGACCTGGAGATCATCACACTAAGTTAAGTCAGCCAGAAAGAGAAAGAAAAAAGCCATATGATATTGTTTATATGTAGAATGTAAATAACAGGACATAAATGAACTTCTTTACAAAACAGACTTATAGACATAGAAAACAAACTTATGGTTACCAAGGGAGGATGGGTAGGGAGGGATAAATTGGGAATCTGGGATTTGCAGACACTAACTACTATATATAAAACAGATAAAACAACAAGGTCCTCCTGTATAGCACAGGAAACTATATTCAGTACCCTGTAATGAGCTGTAATTTTAAAAAATATGAAAAGGAATATATATGTGTGTGTGTGTGTGTGTGTGTATATATGTATATATATATATCACTATGCTGTACACCAGAAATTAACACAGCATCGTAAATTGACCATACTTCAACTAAAAAAATTAAAAAACAGAAAAAGACAAGAAAAGAAATGAAGTAGTCCTGTGTGCAGCTAATTTATGAAGAATTCTTTTTTAGTTCTTTGTTTGTTGCTTCATACATTAACTATAAAATTATGAAGATCTGTTCAGCCTAGATGCTGTAATATACAATTGATAAGTGCATTTTTTAGACATAATGCTACTATGTACTTCATAGATGACAGTATAGTATAAACATAACTTTTATAAGCACTGGGAAACCAAACAATTATGTGACTTGTTTTATTGCAATATTTGCTTTGTTGCGGTGGTCTGGAATAGAACCCACAG